AGTGCATTAATTGACCCCAACCAACTGCCTTGACCCAATCTTAAGCCTGACCTTGTCTTATGACCCGACCCATTTAGACTTGGACTTTGGGCGGGAAAATGAACTGGTTTTCCACCTTTTTTTATATAGAGGTAGATTATACCGAAATATAGGAGTGGGCAAAATTACCAAACCGACATGGTAACGAACCGAACCGATATGGTACCGGACCGAAAAACGGGGTTTGAAACAGATCTCAATTTTTTTGTCCCGAACCGAACCGTACCGATTCTAAACAATGCCATGACCGGTTCTCATAAAATGAGAACCGAAACCGGACCGAAGTATGATTTAATTATTTAAATTTACGTTTATACCATTATTTTGACTAGTGTCTTTGCATTTTCACCGTCTTTGCTAGTTCATAGGAAGCCTGAAATCGGACCAATGTATGGTTTAATCATTTAAATTTGTACTACTATAATTTATCTGAAATTTATTAATTATGTAATACTACCTTCATCCCAAATTGATTTGCAAAATTAACTTTTTTTTGTCAAACAGAATCATTTTATTCACTTAACTAGAATGCCAATTTTTAATTATATTTAATTTGGAGCTTGCAACTTTGAAGAAATTTCAATGTAGTTTCTGAATATGTTTATTTTAATTATTAAAAATTGAAATAATTATCAATGAAGAGAATTTAACTCTAACATTGGTTGACAAAAAAATATTGACTTTGCATGTCAATTTGGGATGGAATGAGTATGAAAATTGATAAATTGTGTAGATTTTTGGAGGATGACTAAACCTTAATTGTCTCTTAAACACTTGGAAAAAGTGGCATTGTTTGGTATTGGTATGACATGGTACCGTCCCGTTTCAAAATGAAACCGTACCGAACGGGTTTAGGTCTAAGACCGAACCGAACCGAACCGTTTGAATAGTAACGGTACGGGTACGGGTTCGGCAAAACATTGGACCGGACCGGACCGCACCCACCCCTACCGAGATATCATTGCGAGTATTTTGATACATAGAACCAAATAAGAAATCGGGTGTACCACTTCTACAGTCCTGTCTCAAACTGCTCTAAGAGATTTTTCCGGTTCGGTTTAACCAGAATCTGCAAAAAAAAACGCTAACTAATTGTTTTAATACAAGAGTATTGGTTCAAAAGCAATGCTTAGTAAAATAAAAAAAATCATCAACTTAAAAGTAATGCTTCTAGTTTGTACACGATGACCTCGATCAAATTCTTTGAAACTAAGACATATATGCGCGATTATATTCTTCTAAAGTCTATTTTTATTGAGTCTCTAAATTCCCTGATAACTCGTATGTCCCATAGAAAGATTTTCACTTTTCTTGTTGGACATTCTATATAAAGTTTCTCATTTTCATTTTAGGAAATAATAATTAACAACCATACATGACAAATTAATCATTAATAATTAAAAATAATACATTTGTAACATCACAGTTATCAACACTAACATCATTATATTATACACTTATTAAAATTATTTATCAAAATATACTCAAACTATCTTATTTAATTATAGTACGAGTAGTAAATAATTAATCGTGCATTTTGTCATGAGAACTTTTTAACGGAACATGGTAGTTTCTCCAAAAAAACAAAACGGAACAGGGTAGTATGTACGAGTAGTATATGATATCGTACATTCAATGCACAAATCAATTTATGTCCACTTTTTACATCTTTAGTTTTTACTGCTATATCTTACTTTATTCACATTAAATAAAGATTTTTTGCCACTTTTAGTCATCCGACAATTATGTTATTGATATTTTTGGTACTCGACTTTGATTTTTTCTATTTCTAGTCCTCAACAATTGCGCTAGAGACACTTTTGGTATCCGTCTTTGAAAATTTCCACATTTAGTCCTTCAACTTTCATAAAAGTGACATTTTTTGTCCTTCAACTATTATAATAGTGACATTTTTAATCTCCCACTTATTGTGTGAATGAAAATCATAGTAAGAGGACTAAAAGTGTCAATTTGATAATACTTAAGGGACTAAATGTGGGAAACCTTGAAGTCGGGGACTAAAAGTGTCTCCAGTACAATAGTCGAGGACTAAAAATGGAAAAATTAGAAGTCGAGTACCAAAGGTGTCAATGACGTAATAGTCAAGGGACCAAAAGTGATAAAAACTCTTAAACAAAACCATCATTCTGTCAAATTACTATCCTACACAGCATTAACAATATAAAACTGTAGTACATGTATGTGTTTCCCATTTTGTATTGGCATTATGAACTTGGAATCAGGGGCGGAGCCACCATTGTTCAAAACTATACACATGAACACCCAAAAATCTGAAAAAGGTGTAAGTATACATGGATAAATTTAGTGTAATTATTTAATGTCTTTAAATTCTTGGTTGTAAAAACAAATTGAACACCCAAAATGGAAATTCAAAATCCGCCACTGCTTGGAATGTATAGATAGTCTGGTCAAAGGGATAATCCAACCCCCCTTCGAAACACGGAGAATTGAAGGGACATACCATGTGACAATGGGTCGGTGACACATTGCATCGATACATGGCCGGACTCATGCTGTGGGCGAAGCAGAGGAAATTAAAATGCAGTGGTACTCTGTTTTTCTTTCCTTTGATAATTAGGTGTCTAGTGTTTACTCCCACAATGTTAAAACCGGACCGGAGGGCAACCTGAAAATTGACCGGGTCAAGGGTCAATTCGAACTCAGAGAGTCAGCCCGATAAACGGTGCATGCGTGTAGATTATGTCCAGCAAAAATCAACTAAAATGCAATCTGGAAGACAATTAAATAAAATATTGAAAAACATTGCACTTTTATGTATATAGTTTGGTGCACTATGTTTCAATAATTTATTTAACTGACTTCCGGATTGAATTTTTAGCTGAAAGTTTTTGTGCATTATCTACAATTCTTGAATAATATGTTCAAATTTTTTGATAAAAAACTTCCACCAGGAACCAACCCAAATGGCGGCGTCCAGACGGAGGGTGCTGTCCATCTGGTTGGACAAGAGCATTTTTATATATATGGAACTTTTTATATTTAAAGGTATGTATAAGTCTCTAACACTCTAAAGTCATAATAAAAAAAATTGAAGGACTTTTTTTATTTTATCTAATGTACATTTATAACTACATCATTGTATCCGCTAACATCATTTTTTTATTTAAAGGTATCGAACTTTGTTGTTGTTGTAGTTTCTTGTAAAAATATTGTTGGGATATATTATCCCGGCCTATTACTGTTCAGGGGCCCAAGACATTATCCAGTACGGAGCCCAAGCAGCTAGGTCCATTTCGGCCCATTCTGGCCCACTTTGGCCATTGGGCCCGACATCGGCCCGTATTTGGCCCATTAGGGTGGAGAGCACCCTTCCCCATTTCCCTATAAATATGAGGCTTCCCTCCATGTTTTAGGGATCCTTTTTTAGCTCCACCTCCCTCATTCTTTTAGACTTAGCTCAATACTCCATTAATGGGAGCTTGTACAATGTAATTGTGAGGAGAGTCCTAATGAGAAAGAGAGGGCTTGGACATTAGCCTAAAAAGTCCCGTGGTTTTCTCCCTTTCGGGTTTCCACGTAAAAACTGAGTTGTTCATACACATTTATACATATATTTACTATATCGTGTTGGATTAAACTCAACAAATATTATTGGTGTAAGTTAAACCGCTATTGCTTCAATTCCATTCTTGCACATATTGACAAGTTGGAAAAAATTTCCGATCTCGACCTTGGCTTTAGTGGCATGCTCGGCCTCGCCTACTATTTTGGAGTTCTTTTATTAAGTTCGACCTCGCTCTTGGTTCGAGAAGTGAGCTCGGCTTCGGCCCGTGGATGTTGCATTAGCAGATTACATAGTTGTATTCATGCGTTACTGGAGTGTGCAGTGTGGGAATATATATTGAGTCTCCTACTCTCTCAAGTGAGAATCTACTTCATGGTGATTGAGAGTCATTCTTTGACTGCATTGTGAGCTCCGACAGGGGCACTTCTGATATATCATGACTGTAACTTGAAAATAGCTATTCTAATGAAAATATGCCATGTATATATAGGCAATCTGGTGATTAAAAATTGAATGACTTATTACTTGATTGGTTGTAGACTTGTAGTGCATAGATGATTGCCCTTTTTGTAACAGAATGTCTGCGTAGCCACACATGTACAACAAATTTGTTAAAACAAGCTTGTTGGTGTTACCCCTAGAGTTAGTTATTCCTTGATGACATGAACTTTCAATCTGTCAAGAGTTCTAGCGTTGAAATTTCTATGTACACAGTACACACACTTGTGCGGTGTGCCAAGCTCCTCTCTAGCTCTGCTTGTCCTAGCTAGAGAGCGGGGAGCTCAACTCGGGTGTATTGATGCTCGGCTCAGGTAAAGCCTAGCTCGGGCATATCATAATGAGTTTGGCCTCAGTTGTAGTTTCAGAATTGCCTTGCTGATATGAGAATTTGATGACGAGTTCGGCCTCCACTGCAATTTTGGAGTTCCCCAATTTCTCTCAGACTTATTTCAAAAGTTGGCGTCTAGGACTACTACTTCGAAGATACGACGTCATTCATGGTTTTTTAAGTTTTTAATACTTTGTATAATGTTAACATTTTACTTTTAAGCATAATTTTTTGTACACTTACATAAGCATTTATAAAATCTAATAATTTTTTGATGTACTTTCTCTTTTTCTCATAGTATCCGTTCTGTTAAATCCTCAGCCGGTCCACCAAAATAGGAGCCCGAAGCTCACCTGCTTCTTCAACCGAGCTGGGTCCCGATCAACCGGGCCTGTACCGTAGCGGCCTGATCGGGTAGCGCCGTAGCGGGTCAGGTAGGTCCTTCCCCATCCATCCCTACTAGGGAGTATGACCAAAGTCTGAACTTCTTTGTGCGCAAAACTATTGGGCCATCTAGATGTATCATATCCTTTCTTTATAAAAGCAAACGTGAAGTCGTCAACAATTAAGACCGGATAAAGTCATAAAACCTGGTGTCCGCGTCTCGCGTAGACTTTAGGTAATTATTATTACTACGTACTTCGTATTACACGGTACTTGGTGTATATATATCCATGGTCAACCCAAATCCAAATAGGAACGAAGATGGAACTTTCCAGGATACATCGTTTTTTCGTGTTGAAAATTATAATCCATCACAAACAAATATTAAACCTCATCACCATAGTCACGCCACCGCGTAATTACACACCAAATTATCTCACACGGTCCACTAAACTCCACCATTCAACAAAGCTATATATACACACATCCACACCCAAACATAAAACAACACACTCATCTTATAATACCAGCAATTTATTACCATAAAACCGAGGCTTATTTCTGCTCCAATTTCATCGAGTATACCATTTACTTTATTAATTGAGCCATGAAGGAAGCGAACACCTACCACCGCCACAGCACCCGCGGCGGAGGCTGCAACCCCATCAGCTGCCTCTGCAGCTGCATCTACAATTGCATCTGCCAGCTCATCTGCACCGTCCTCGTGATTCTGGGCTTGTTGGCGGTGGTGCTCTGGCTCGTCCTCCGCCCGAACCAGCTCAAATTCTACGTCGACGACGCCACCCTCACCCAGTTCGACCTCGCCAACAACACCCTCCGCTACAACCTCGCCGTCGACGTGTCCGTCCGGAACCCGAACAAACGGATCGGAGTCTACTACGATTCCATCGAAGCGTCGGCGTTCTACAAGGGTCAACGGCTTTCCACCCACCAGAACGTGGCGGCGTTCTACCAGGGCCACAAGAACACCACCGCCTTCAAGATCCAGCCTTTTACGGGCTCGCAGGTCGTTTCTATCGACGCCGGAGATAGGCGGAGCTACGACGGCGAGAAGAACGCAGGGGCCTACGAAATTGATGTGAAGCTGAGATTGAAAATCAGGCTGAAGCTTAGGAGATGGATCAAGGTTAAGATAGGGAAGAAGCCCAAAATTGAATGCCATCTCACTGTTCCATTGAAATCCGCCGCATCGGCCACCAAGTTTGAGAAGACGAGGTGCCATTTGGATTGGTAGATGCATATATACATACATATACATATACATACATGTAGTTGTGTAGATGTTAGATTGCTCTCTGTTTATCATTTATGCGCCCATTCATTCTTGATATTTGATTGTTTTATTATTACCAGATTGTATTGTTTTTTTAGACTTTCAGTCACGCACTACAGCGAGTTTTTCGTGCTTTACTGTATATAAATAAGAAGAATGTGTTACGTTTTTCCTCTGACTTCTGAGTCCCTGATTAAAATTTTCTAATTTTATCATATCTCCTATCATGTGTTGCGAAAGAGACTATAGAAGAGAAATGTTAAAAAATGTTAAAAGTACCTCATTTTAGAATACCCCATTTTTATCTCCTCTTTTGTGTGGCCATAAATGGGTAACATTTTTAAGTGAGACAATACATTCAAATGTAGCCTCATTTGGACTACAAAATGTGTGGGGTAAAAATGAGGTTTAATGCACCAAACCCCTTGTGATATAAAAAATCAGTGCATTAACCCCATGTGATTTAAAAAATGCATCAAACCCCCTTGTGTTTTAATTAAGAGATAATTATCCTAGGTATGACTAAAACTTCTTCACTTTTCCAATCTATGACCTAACTAGTTTTTTTACCAAAATAATATTAAAATTCATAATATTTAATTAAAATTCGTAATAAATAAATAAATAATTAATTTAGGTGGACAAATATACCCTTTAGGTTATATATATAAAACCCTAGGCTCCTACTCTTTTCTCCAACCCTAGTTTCCATTCTTCCACCTCCATAGATTCACCCGGCTACAGCCGCACGCCCCTGCCGCGCGCCGCCGCCCCTGCCGTGCGCCGCCGCCCCATAGCTCGATGTCCGCCGCCGTCCAGTATATCCGATTGAAAGTTTACTGCACTGCACTTCATTGCTGGGTCGCTTCAATGATTCTCCGCATAAGTAGAAGCAGCCATTGTTATCGCTGGAGAAAGGTTCTGTGTGGATAGAGTCGTGTCCGTCGTTCGTCTCTGGCACCACTTGTTTTGATAGAATTTTGACTGAAAAGTAATTCTACTTGATTTTATCTCATCCCATCATTTATTAGGATAGAAAGGAGATTGGCTTTTCATCCGTATCGTGTCATAATATGTTTTGGTTTTATTAGAATTCATTTGAATTTCGCCACACCAAAGTTGTGTTGTTGCCTGTTGTTGATGGAATTCTATTTCGGAGGAACAAAAATCAATTCATAAAGCTTGATAATTTGGAATAGTCATATGATGCCCACGAAATCATGGAGATGTGGTATGGACGGTAGAGATGAAATTTGGGATCGGTAGTGCGGCCGGTAATTGACAAGCCAGTAATTTTCTGTTCTATTTAATAAAAAAATTAGGGTTTGTGGACATTGAACATTGACATTGAACATTGGCATTGAACATATCAATAAGTATTGACTGTTGAGTATAGGCAATGAATATGACAATTAATAACATTGTACATGGCAATTAGACCTGCACAAAAACGGGTTCGGGCCGGGCTCGGGCCGGGCTTTTTATAATTTTTTTGCCCATCATATGTGGGCGGGCCCGGCCCGGCCCGCAAAAACGGGCCTAACCCCATGTCCATACCCGCCCATAAAAGCGGGCCGGGTAGTCCATCGGGCCTCCGGGCCCGGAAAAACTTTATATTTTTCGATTTTTTTTTAATACTTTAAAACTAATATTACAACATTTAAAAAATTGTTAATATGCGTGTAATGTTTATAGGTCTTTGACCACATACAAAAATAATACTTACACAAAAATAATAATGAGAAACTATATCTAAAATTTAAAATTCGAGCACAAAGTATTATCTTTAAGTACAAAAATAGATACTATATTAGTTGGAGTTTTTGCCATTTTTGGTCCCTCGACTATTATGTCAATGACACTTTTGGTACTCGACTTCTAATTGTTCCATTTTTAGTCCTTGACTATTGTGCTAGAGACAGTTTTATGCCCCGACTTCAAGGTTTCCCACATTTAGTCCCTGAGTATTGTCAAATTGACACTTTTAGTCCTCTCATTAGGATTTTGACACAATAAGTGGAGGACTAAAAAAGTCACAATTATAATAGTTGAAGGACCAAAAGTGTCACTTTTATGAAAGTTGAAGGACTAAATATGAAAATTTTCAAAGACGGGTACCAAAAGTGTCTCTAGCGCAATAGTCAAGGACTAAAAATGGAAAAAATCAAAGTCGAGTACCAAAAATGTCAATGACACAATAGTCGGATGACTAAAAGTGGAAAAAACTCATATTAATTGGGCTAGTGGTTCAGATCTAAAAACCTAAATTTAAACATAATAAACTATAAATATGTATAAAGATAAATTATATTAGAAAATATAAATGTACATGTAAATAAATTAAATAAATTATATATATATATATATATATATATATATATATATATATTAAATGTAGCGGGCCGGGCTTATCGGCCCGAACGGGCCTACACCCTAACCCAAGCCCGCCCATATGTTATTGCGGGCCGGGCCCGACCCGGCCCGGTGGGTAAATATATATGCCCAAGCCCGCCCATTTGTGCGGGCCGGTTGGGCGGGCTGGGCGGGCCGGCCCGGTTTTGTGCAGGTCTAATGGCAATGAATGAGTGCATTGAGAAAGTTTGTTGAGCATTGAAATACAATATACTTAATTAGATGTGAAATAATAAAATCATTAAATCGAAAAAATAAAAAATAAAAATAATTTCCTAAAGTGAATGTGAAGAGAACTAATTTTGACGGAAGTGCAATGATTATTACTGAATGTGCAGAAATGTCGTGCATTTATGTTATGCATTAATGTTGTGCATTAACGTCAATATAAAGTGCAATAATTTTAATTGGACGAAATTAGTGCACAATGCACATATTTTAAATAAGGGTATTTTTGTCATTAAACATTTAAATAGAAACGAATTTCCTATTTGTTTTTGGATTTTCAGTCATACAAAGGTATAAAAACTAGTTAGGTTATAGATTGAGAAATTCATTGAGTTTTAGTCATATTCCGATAAATTTCCCTTTAATTAATCATGCACAGAATCCCTTTTATAAATAAATTTAACGATTTGGAAATCACTTTTCCTAATATTTTGATTGAATATGCAAGTAAATATGTCAAAATATCTGAATCATACAAAAAAGTTAGATCATTTTTCTTTCATTTGACAATTGAATTTGTTAACAAAGAGGATTTGGCGCATAATTAATTAAAACGCAAGGGGATTTGACGCATTTTTTAAATCACAGGGGGCTAATGCGCTGAATTACCATATCACAGAGGGGTTTGATGCATTAAACCCGGTAAAAATGGGGTACATATAGCAATCTCACTTAGCAATCTCACTTAGCAATCTCACTTGCAAATAGTGACGAACTTAACCTACCCATTCTTAATAAAAGTTAACCCCAATAATTCCAAAAAGGGCATCTAAGTACGTTGAAAGGCATGAAATGAAGAATTCCGTATAAGAGGATTTGCAAATCATCCCTCTATATCGAGGAAGCTTTTTCACGGACTTTTTCCAATCTCCCTCTAACAAAAACTTTTGTTAGGCACTTTGTGGTTTAATGGTATTGTTGTTGATGTCCCACGGAGATTGCAAATTCAATCTCATCTCAATCAAATATGTTTGCGTCATCACTATAATAGGCTTACAAGTATGTTCTTCACAATTTTTCAATTGATGCGGTGCACATATTAATAATTTTAAAATGGTCTTCAAAGTCAAATATTGTTCAAAACATGAGATGTTAGGTTAAATTGTTCCTTTTATCTATTGCTTATTATTATATAATTTTATATTTGTTTACATATTTTTTATATTAAATTCACTAACCCTCTAGGTAATTGAATTGATAAGTATTTACCTGATTACCCCTCAACTTAGGCCTCTGAGACCGTTAGACTAGCTAGCTAATACAATAGTATATTTTTATATATTTAATTACTTAATACTCCTTATTTTCTTACCCATCTTGTTAGACACTCAGACAGTCAGACTCACAAAATGGCTTAGTAAAAAATCTAGCTAGTTTCTTACTTTTAGTAAAAAAAATCCTAGTTAACCACATAACTGTAGTCCTATTTATTTGTTGAAATTACCCGTATCGTCCAATTTTAGGTACGTGTCACATTTCATTTATGTCACATTAGTGTTTTTCTTTCATTCCTAGACTTTCTTTCATCTTTTCTATCCAACTATGTTATTTCAAAAATAATCACATCCTAAATAAAACCTACGCAGTACATCCCATTGGTAATCGACAACGATGAAGCTCTACGGTGACAAATGATGAATTAGGGGTGTTTGGAACTGATTCTGCATCTTTTTTAAAGCAGAATCAGAATCAGAATTAGTTTTCAGAAGCTGGTACCCCCAGATTGTAAAAAACTGCATCTGGGAGTAAATTAGAGCACCGGAAGTGCTTCTGTAATTTCACCCAAACACTCCAGCTTCTGCTTCTGCTCTTGCAGAAGTGCTTCTGAAAGAGCAAAATCAGTTTTGGGAATGAGATCCAAACACCCCTTATTCTAAGGCGAATTAGGCATTCATGATCCTCTTCACTATCGATTGAGTAGTTTCAATCGCCAACTCGCACCGTCTTCAAGGTCCTGGGAAGGGTTGATTTTCCAGTGAGGTTGATTTTAGATCTAGCAGGGAGCCGCGCTAAGAGGAATTCATTGGAAGTGTACAGTGGTAGCCAAATGATTGTGCGCCTCGGTGAATATGTCAATCCTTGCATTTATCTTCCTTTTTTTAAATTTCAACTCAGTTTTCTTAAACGACTACATTTATTGAACATATGTTTCATTGAAGCTATGAGGTGCTAAAGCTTGGCGTGTCAAGTAGAACTATCCTTGTAACTCTGTGAAGCATCAATTACCTTAGCTAAGTATTTGAGTCACTAATCAACTTCTAAAAGATGCGGTCTTGTAAAAATTGAATTGAAAGGTAAAATTCAGAAAGTTCACAATATATGATTGATCACTTTATTTTGTAAATATCTCAATTTTGAAGTGGAAATTGCCCAAATGCTCCCTATTACATATGCATCCTTGCCAGTCATAGGGTTGTTTACTTTTTTTCCATTAAGTCCTGAATGAATTAAGACGTCTGTCTGCATTAAGTTGTCTGTCTGGATTAAGTGACACTGACATAACAAATTGTTTACTATGTAAGCTGAATGAGTTGTCTGAATACTATCAAATGACCAAATAACCCTCCTGTCTGGA